TACCCTAATAGGGAATTATTTAAAAAAAATCAATTCTTTTTAAAAAGTCCAGAAAATTCTTCATTGTAGCGTGTCATTCAAAATGGGGTAGTTTCGTACTTAACGTTTCAATATACAGAAAATTTTAAAGGGTGCTGTTATTTTTAAATGATCCTTTTTGATTTAAATAATAAGACTTTGTAACATGTAGTTTGTTTTAATTTTGCTATAAATCATGGCTATCGACAAGTAAAAATCGATTCCATTTAATTAATAAGAGTTTTAATAAGAAAGGCCTTTTTAAAGATTTGGAACATTTTTTATTTATTTCTTTTAATTGATAGTTTATAAAAAGCTAAAAAAAAAACTCGATAATTCAAATAATATTATAAGGGATAGGTAGGTTAGGTAGTAGTGATGCATTCAAAAAATACTGTGCAAGAATTTTCCTTATAGCATTTTCCAGAAAACCGAATTTACACATACTTTACAACTATTGTTTTGTGAAATTCCAATGAAAGAACTCGAATTGAAGATTCTACAGTATGTAATTATTTACTTCTTCTGCCTAATATTTTCTAAAAGGGGTAACAAGGGTGTTTTCATCCCTTACATCTGAACTTGTAATGATGCAGATAGCAGTAGAACTAGTACTTCGTTAGAAAATTATTTTATCTTTATTAAGTTTAAGTTCACCCCTAGTTCCATCCTTAAAATAGGTCTCCTCTAATTCTACTAAAATTCTTAAATAAAGGAGAGACCTCGCTTATTTACAAAAAGATGAATGCCATTTGTACACCTTAGAGTGAGAAACTAAATACAATTTAAAATTTAACTACGAATAAATCTCCTGGTAATTATCTGCACTTCCTACCTGAACATAATTAAATCCAATTAACCATAAATATTTACTCAAAAAACGTTTAATAACTATACACAGAAACAATGTCAGTATTTTTGTCAAAATAGACAAAGCTCTTACTTTTTGTGACTCCATCGTAATATTAGAAAAAGTTGTTTTCTCTGTTAGTACTTTTTTAATTTGGTGTCAATAGGTGCACAGGTATATTTCCTTATTACCTTGACCTTTATTTATTAATAATCTTAAATAAATTACTACACTAAACTTTGGATTATGGTCGATAAAATATTTAATACTCTTCTTTAATTACAAAAGTATATCAAATTAAAATGGCATTTTAAACTGAAATATTGTACATAAGGTCTAATAGGGTAAAACAATTATAATAGAAGTTTTAAGTGTGTTGCTTCGCATATAACTATCTTAAAAAGTAGAAAACAAGAGTCACGAACGACAAATGTTTAATATTATTCAACTTTTAGTTACTAAAAGCATTAAGCAAAGTGTTTTGCAATACATTGAAGAAACCGATCCGTACAATATTAAGTATTAGATAATTTTAGATTCTTCTTTCCATGTTGTTCATAAAGCGTGACGTCTAAATTTTTATATTCCCACGTGTTTCGTCATTTGAAACATACTTTAATAATTTAGCTAATTACAAATTTGCTTATTAACGTTATTTCTTGTCCACTTTTTTTTCAATTACTTTCATACAGATAATGGATTGATGGGCGACGTCAAGAATATGCAATATAACTTCTTTTAATAACCCACTTATTTTTAATTAATTATTTATTACTAGTTGAACCCACATAAACGATATATATACATATAAATATGATGATACGCAATATTTATATTTCATTCATGACCATGCCGTATTTAGTCATTTAACTACAAATTCCACTTACGTCAAAATTAGCAATTTTTAATTAAAAAATACTGATAACATCCTGGATCTCAGAAGTAGGCCTAAGGAGTACCTCATCTTTTCATTAAACGTTCCAAAAGTCAGTCACTTCCAGAATATTATATTATGAAAAGAGATGGTAGCACCAATTATGTTTGCAATGCAGAAACATCTTTTTGGCCATTCGCTAATATATTTTAAATCAGTAAACTGGGGTGAAATTTTACAAAATCCGAGATCTATTAATGTTTTTTTTACAATATTTTTCACGGCTTACTTAGATACTGACAAACCTGCGCTACAACATCGTAATGGAGTAACTTAACATTTAATTTATACTGCGATTAAATATTTTTTAGTAGAACTTTGCTACTTTTTGTAAAATATTTGCTTTGAAACTTGTTCCCTTACAACTTCCGGACACTGTCAACAAATTATGATAATTAAAAGTATTTTATAATTACAAATAATTATTTATTGTGATTTAAATGTGTCCACTACTGATCTGGTTTTATAATATAGAAAACACCTTCTCATTCTACATATTGAGTTATTATAGTTTTTCTTTTAATTTTTGTATAAAAAAAACAGAAAAGGAAAATAGCTTTACACTTTCAAAGAGGTTTTCTCGATGTATTCCTACATTTATTCAATTTTTATATAAACTACAGTATGCAGTAAAAGGAAATGTTGAAATCACCATTTCCCGCAATTTTCTTCAAAGAATATTATAATCTACAGAAATTAATTACGACTGCAATTATCTATAAAGAATATTGAGAAATAATGTCGGTACAATTAACTATATTTACAGGTAAATATCGTCGCTAACCTTGCAAGACTGCAAGCGGAATTAACTATACATTTTTCCTTTTTTTATCATTTCCATTTAGTAACTTTAAAGTGTGTTAACATGTCTGCGCTTCTATGTCTTCAAGGGCACCAGATGTATTCACTACACTGCACTATAATAATCGTTTAAATGTTCTAAATTTTTATTTATTTACAGCCAAATATATCCATTTATGTAAAAGAAATGATCCCGAAGTTGGAAAGTGCGTTAGGGCATCCATAGAAGTCTTGCGTCCCCATTTGAAATCAGGAATACCTGAACTTGGTGTCCCAACGTTGGAACCTTTCCACATCCCAAAAATAGACATAATAAGAGGCCAGAACAGTAATAATTTCAGAGCAGGTCTTTCAAATATTGATGTGTTTGGTGCCTCTGACTTCCAAATAAAGAAACTCAAGTAAGTAATACATTTTTATACGTAATAATTTGTTTCTAAACCAAATAATTGACAACATAACCCAGGGTATGTCAGGTTATGGCGCGTAAAAGTTTGAGCCGCCCCCTGGGTTTTATGGTCGTATTTATTATACACGTGTATAATGTAAATTATTGTACATTTATCTTATTTATACTTGGATTATTGATATTCTAGGGTGGGCCAGGAGGGTTCTAGAATGGGCCTGGCCCATCTGCCACCTCCCTCCTTTACTATGCTAATTTTTTTTATAGTAAAACGTTTGTTACCCTACTCTGGAATTGATTTTGTTCTGCAATTAGAAAAAATGAAAACTGGCATCACTTTTTATGAAAAAATCGAATAGACTCGGAAATCGCACCTACATTTACACCTGCCTTATTTTTTTGGACAGCATACATTTTCTGCAATAAAAGAAAAACAAACCGTCAATAAGTCGTAATAATAAGACTGCACGTTAAGAACAGTTTTAACTTTACTATTTCCATTGTTGAATAATCTTTGATATCTAAAGCGAAACTTTTAAATTGCTGTACCTGACTAAATGTAATTCATAATCGACAAAATAACTTTTAGAATTATTTCCTTGCATTCTAAAAGTAACTTTTTCCAAGTCCATGCGTTTTAATGAGGGATTTATACTCCAATACTACAATGGGTGTAAACCATTTTAATGTCCCATAAATTGTACAAATAATCCTCTGCATTAAAACTGCAATCGATTATAATCAGGCAATAAATATTTATATAAAGTATGAGTATCTAAACTTTCTGGCGATATTGTACACCTAATCAAATCAAAAACACAGGTACATACTACAGACTATCCGGTTATAACTGGAAGGAAGTTGAAAAAATTGGCTATATAATGATAAAAAATCTTTTTAATACTCGATTTGTAACCATTTTTTATTACGTTATTGTGAACCCACTTAGCCAGTATGTTAGCTAGTAAATAAAAGAGAACTTTGCGAAAACCGGGTAAAGGCATCGACATTAGAAGCCTAGATAAGAAGGATTTCAAAACAATGCTACTTATTCAAGTGTAATAACGGGAGTATTCTTTAGCCTCCTTAAACCCCCCCCCCTGTAAATGTATAAAAAGGCCGGACAAATTGGTGACGGCTTTCTAGGTCAATAGGAGAACTGATGCTGTCTGATTCGGGTCTAAAACCGTCGTCGGTTGGATTTGCTTCCTAATGTTTCGCTAGTGGCGAACTTCTTCAGAATTCTTTCCATCTCTGATGCTGGATTTAGACACCGCAGAAGGAATTGATTACTAAAGTTTCGCTGGCACGAGTGGCGAACTGTTTCAAAGATCCTTCCATCTCCGATGCTGGATATGGACACCACAGAAGAATGGAAAGACCTCTGAAAAAGCTCGCCACTTGTACTATCATTAGAAAAAGTCGTAAAAATGTAGTCGAGGTTTAAAAAAATAGTCTCTCGCTTGTTACGCCAGGATAGCCTGGCTGACATGAGTGTCAAAAATCAGGGTGGCAATCGCATCAACCCGACCAGCAAGGGGATTCGTCCGTCAAACATCCGACCAGTAATGGAGACTGAATACCCAGGGGCACTACGTAGAAGATCTTCCTGCCTACCCAGCCGTCTGAAGTTGCACTCGTAGTGATACTGGTTACACCCCGCATGCTGGGAAAAAAAAACTTTTGGGTGTTTCATTCCCACCAGCTAGTAGTGCTGGTGGGAGGGCAGTCCCTTCGGACTACGCCGGAAGGTAGGGCGGAAGGCCTCGTGGGAATAGGTGGGTGGAGGTTCGGGTGAGAAAGATAAGACGGACGAAATGAAGACAGAGGAGAATGAAAGATTATCTGTGGAATATAACTGCCTCAGTATTTGCCTAAGTGATCCAAGGAAACCACAGAATAGCTTGGACCAAGGCAGACGAATTCGGAATCGAACCGGCGTCCTCCCGAATGCTAAGCAATGGTCTAAACCTCTAGGCCTTGCCGCTGGGGAAGAAGAACTGGCACCTCGACGTATGAACTGTGTATACTTGCTCGAGTACCATGCTTGATAATCTGATAAAAATTNATATTTCTTAAGTAGTTTTTCTGAATATTTTATTTTATTAGGTCTATAGTTTAGGATAAATTCAAAGTAGTTGTTAAGTAAACATGTGCGACCAGCACTAACTTTATGATATTGGCGGAAATACCGAATTTATTGGGGTTCGGTATTTCACCAAAGACAAGACCAGTAAGGTCAGTTACCTACCCCAAAGATGCCTGTTTTGGGCGTGTCGCTTTCTTCAGTACCTATTATAAATACTGAAATTTGAAAGCATGAAAAGCATTCGATTTATATCAATTCATATCCAACCATCAATTCGATTCATTCAATTCATATCCAACAATCAATTCGATTCATATTCATCAACTCAACAATTCAAACAATTCTATACCAATAAAACCCAATATATGTACAACAACCAAATTGATTATACAAGTTTATTAATGCAAGTGTTTATAGATAGGTTAATATTAAATTAAGTGTATTATAGTGTAAATAAAAAACAATTAGTAAGGAGAATACAGTCCATTTTATTCGAAGTGGTAATCACCAAAAGAAACGAAAGGCGGGATACCGCCACATCCGACAGTGATTGAACTGTTTTTTAGTTTGTTGCTGTTTTAATGGGGCAAAAGACTGCTATACAGACATTGTGGTTTGACGTTGTAGACATAATAATTGTAATAAACTGTCATTGTTCTTAATAAATAGTGTTATATTACTTTTGGTTTTTGTTGTAACATTTTGCCCCTTATAGTGTAACAACCAGCCCCTGGCACGGGGCTAAAAGTTACACGTCTCTTTTCCCAGAATTTATTTATTTATGTCGCTTCTAATAGTCCGGTATCTAAAATTGTTTTTAAATTAATAACCCAAATAGTTACTTAATCAAACAAACCTACATTCCGGTAAAATAATCAAACAAACAAAAAATTATGACACTTTATAAAAAAAATGTCACGACCAGCCCCAGCCTAACCTACATACGACGCCCTTCTGTGATGGTCC